CTTCCTAAGGTAAAGAGCTTAATACTGAACACAATAATCATGATATGGCCTAACCAGTGACCTATACAACAAAATTATAACCTCTTTAGACTTGTATTCAATATTTCTGTACATACAACCTAAAATCCTATTTGCCCTACCATTAGCAACAGCACACTGCTTGGATGGCTTTAGAGACTGATTGACTATTACATCAAGATCCCTTTCCTTCATAACACTATCCAAATTATACTTATAATTTCAAATTATGATAACCCACATGCATTATCTTGCAATTATTATAATTAAAACCCATCTACCTTTTATTTGCCCAACTCACTACATGGTCTAAAACCTTTTGTAAATCAGCAGCATCCTCTTCACTGCTAGCAACACCCAAGACATTAACATCATCTGCAAATTTAAGTGATTCATTGAATATTCCGTGATCTATGTCATTAATGTAAGTCAAAAAGAGCAAAGGTTCTAAGAAGCCCTGAGGTACCCTGCTTGTGACAATAATCCAGTTTAACTGAACTCCATTTGTAACAATCTTCTGCTTTTTTCCATCCAGCCACTTTTCTATCCAATTTGCTACTCAACCTCTGTAGCCTTTCTGTACATTTACTTGATTTTTGTCTGTTGTTTGTTCACATTCATTTTACACATCTGTGCTTTTGATTAAATACTACTTCACGTGTGTTATGTATCTCTGTGCACTGGAAATTAAGCTTTACATTAATTATGCACTTTATGTTTGCAAGATATTTTCAAGAACAATTACATCTGATCAGGCTGTTGTTATTACCTCGACTGTGGAAGCACAATATGCTAATAAATTAGCAAACAACTTATGTGTATAACATGGTGATTTGTTTTTGGGGGAACATACTACATGTTTCGAAAAAACTTGTTGAATTAAGAACTTATTTTGCAGCTTACTTTTTGCTGTTGTAATTTTATTAAATATTTCATTCTATCCTTTTAAGTATGAAGATTCGGGTAGTCATGTTTTCCACATTAAAGAAAACAGCAAAAGACAACAAACAAACTTTAACAGCCTGAAAAAAAACCTTCGGATCCAAGATCGAGAGCTTCAGGAGATGTCTGATGATGGAAAGTGTTTAAGCATGCACCAGCCTTGGGCTTCCTTGCTGATCATGGGAATCAAAAAGTTTGTATTTATTTAATGTTGCTAACAGCCCCTATATTAGCTATGATTGTGTTGTTACTAGTTGCACGTGTTATATTGTAGGTTAGGCTTAACAAGTTTGCTTATATTTTGCACAATAAAAAACTTCTTTAGAAATTATATACCTTTCTTAAAACAATTTAATTTTCAAAAATGTATTTTGTTTTGATAGAATATTTTAGTTTTGATTGTTAATTGTCATAGATTAAAAAAAAAGTAATTAAAAGTTTTAGCAATTTTAGAATTTTTTTTCAACCATTAAATCAAATGTTTCATACATATGCTCAAAGAATGTAAAGTTTAAACATTATTTTTCCTACTAGCATGTGCCCAAATTTGAGAACCTAACATAGATTGATGTACCACTTTTATTTACACTTTCAAGATATATAGCAATGTTTTTATAATAAAATCAGTTATTTTACAAAATCGTTCTTCAGATAAATGTGTAATTACACTTTAATTTTTAATATTTAAAATAGGGATTCTCTGGTACAGTAAACTTATAACCTTTGTGTTCAGATATTTTTAGTAGACGTTTGAGTTATAAAATTTTAAAATATCGTGTAATTTAGCTGTAGTAATTTTATGAATAACACTTTGTGATTCAAAAATTATGTTTCTGTAAATAGCTGCTTTAAAAAAATCTTTAGTTGCTAAGAATACATTCTTAAAAACAAATACAGCAGTTTTGTAAAATAAAAACATCTTGACTGATACATTCTCTTATATTTTGTTGAATTGTAACTTAAAAATTATAATATGAAACTTGTATCAAATAGTAGAAAAATAGTTTGGTACAATAAGTTTTGTAGTTCCATACCAATGATTCTAGATTGTATGTATTCACCAGTAATTGTAACATTTTGTATCTTCACTTAAAAGATTATTATTATTATTATTTTTTTGATACTATGTTAAATTGGTGTTGTCATACATCATTGTTATAGTAATGCTTTTATATAACTTACAGACATGAAGGAAGAACTTGGTACACACCTTATAGAGGTCGACTGTGGATTCATTCAGCCAGCAAAGTGCCATCTCATCAAGAGATCACAGAGACAGAGCAAATATACCGTATCTTAGAATGTGGTGAGTTGAAATTATTCTTGGTGGTAGAGTTTGAAATTTCAGGACTGTGGTATGGTTTCTTAAACTGATTTAATTTTGTGATGTGTTAAATGATGAAATATATTGGTATAAAAAATTTTAAGATCAAATTCAAAAATAATATGAATGAAAAACATTAAGAAGTGTACTAACAATTTAATATGCAGAAAGTTGTACCTGAGATCCCATCTTAAAAGTTGTCAAGCTGAAAGGTCTAAAACTTAAGAGATCATGTTTGCAGTATTTTTAGGCTTGTACTAAATTTCTGGTCTCAAAAACACCTAGATTTAGTATTTGATTCTAAATCAGTGTTATATTAATGGCAATTAATTTTTACATACTGTGTATAGTGTTTTAGGTATAAAGTGTGTGTATGTAAAGTACACAACCAATGGGTTTTTGTATGCATGAAAGACTTTTAGATTTATGTAAAGTGTGTGTGTGTAAAGTACACAACCAATGTGTTTTTATATGCATGAAAGACTTAGATTTATGTAAAATGTGTGTGTAAAGTACACAACCAATGTGTTTTTATATGCATGAAAGACTTAGATTTATGTAAAATGTGTGTGTAAAGTACACAACCAATGTGTTTTTGTATGCATGAAATACTTTTAGATTTATGTAAAGTGTGTGTGTGTAAAGTACACAATCAATGTGTTTTTATATGCATGAAAGACTTAGATTTATTTAAAATGTGTGTGTGTAAAGTACACAACCAATTTGTTTTTTTTTAATTTAGTGAAATTACATTGCTGTATATCACTTCTGTAGTTCAGAAACTACTTACAAATAGGTCAGGATCATTCATTCTAACTATAAGGTCAAGTTATGTAATGCCATAGCTGTTAGTAACAAAGATCATTCTTGTCATAGTTCTCTGGAAAAGAATTGTAATGAATAAATCATGTCACGGAGTCATAACCTTAATTAATAACACAAGTAGCATGTGTTTTCTGTTTAGTGCTACTGTTGGGCACATTGAACACTGGTTTGCAAAGTAGTTTAATTAGGCATGTTTTAGATAAGGATAGCAATATCATTACCCCATAATGAAGCATATTCCTTTTAAATATTGTTCTCAAAATGCAGTGATAAGTGGAAGTCATTATGGTGCTTTCAGTATAACACCAATTTTGGATAAACAAACTTCAATGATTATAATGATAAAATTCAACAAATATTATGCAGTAATGTTTTTATAAGTTAACCTCACAAGGGATTTGAATGTATTTGCCAAATATAACTCATATGGATGGTTAATCACACTTTATAAGAACAATTTATTTATGTTAATGCAGTGGTGTATTACTGCAGGTGCGAGCTTTGTCACCATTTGTAACAGTATAGCATTTATATGGGGTGGGGGAAAATTTGCAGTTGGCACTAAATAAAATATTATGTCCAGTTTTCTAACAAGTGTACAAAATGACTAAATATTAATTTTACATGTTGTACATTTTACACAAACCTTTTCATTGTGTACTAAAATTTATTGATTACTATCTTCAGAATTGAAATTGATAGGCTTGTACATCAAAACATGCATCAGACAAGCAACTGCAAGTAAAAATAAATGCATTGTTCAAGAAAGCTTCAGTTTCAGATATTTTATAGTCAAATTTAGTTCAACTTACAAGATCAAGTAAATGAGGGAAACATTATCATGTAAAGGTTAGGCCTAGCAATACTTTTCCTTTTTTTTTAGTGATAGTGTTTAGTTTCTTGCACATTTGTAAAATTTTCAAATGTGTGTTTAAAGGTCTGTACTGCAATGGTAGTTGTACTTCTTTTTCAACACCATTATAATTCTTTCACAATACAGACATTTACAATTATATCTATTTCATTGTCTATTGTAGTAGGCCTAGAACTTGTAATAATAGTTACATTAAAAAAAATAATGTAGTAAACCTATAGACCTAAGCATTATAATGTATATGTCTAATATAGCTTTGCTGTATTCAAATTCGATTACGACGAACCCACTTTGAGACTAATAATGGTTGGAGACGGCTTGAATGGGTAATAAAGAAAAACTTTAATATAAGTTTAACATAACAGCAAATGTATAACTTTTGGACATGGTTTTGTACCTGATGATGACAAAACCTTGTTGAAACGTT